GGCTACCATTAACCAAGATTGAAACTGTGGCTGATGATATGCATTCTCGAATCCATAAGCGCCATTTGTGACAAAATCCAAATTTGCCCATCATATTGTCGAGGAAGTTCCAGTTTACATTGTCGAATGCCTTCTCAAAGTCTGCTTTGAAGATTAGAACTGGCTTTTTGCTACTCTTGGCTTCATGCAGCATCTCGTTGAGGATGATAATGACATCTGTTATCTGTCTTCCTTCAATGAAAGCAGATTGATGGGGCCCTATTAAGGAGTCCATAACTTTCTTTAATTTGTTTGCTAAAATCTTGGGAATGATTTTATATATACAACCAATAAGTGAGATTGGCCTATACTCTCCCAGATTTTGAGGGTTCTCCTTTTTTGGAATCAAGACTATGAATGAGGCATTGCTCCCTTTAGCTAGTTTGTCGTTATTGTGGAATTCTGCCACACAGTCACATATGTCTTTTTTCAAAACTGGCCACATTTTCTTCACAAAATTGAAGTTGAAGCCGTCTAGTCCTGGACTTTTGCTTCCGTTGCACCCCCAAACTGCTTCCTGGATTTCTTTTTCTGTGAAGCAGGACACTAGTGAGTTATTATCCTCAATTGAGAGTTTCTTGAAGTTATCCAACATCAATTCTGGTCTCTCCCATTTGTCTTCTTCAAATTTTTCCTTGAAAAATTCCTTGATGAACTTTTTAACTTCCTTCACTTCTTCAACCCATTCCCCATTGATTAGGACTCCTTCAATCCCATTGAATTTTCTTCTTTGTGCCACACAAGAGTGAAAATACTTGCTGTTTGCATCACCCTCTTTTAACCATTTTTGTCTTGCCTTCTAATGTAGTAAGCTGTCTCTTGCATTATTCCACTCCCATAGGTTGTGGAAAACCTCTTATCTTCTCTTTGTCTCTGTTTCCGAAAGAATCCCAGTTTCCCCTTTCTCGTCAAAGACTCTTATTTCCTCTTTTGCCTTCTCAATGTTGCTGTCAATATCTCCAAACACATCCCTATTCCATTTCTTCAATTCTACTTTAAGCTTCTTGAATTTTTCTTTTAATCTGTAGCAACTCCAGCCATTAACTGTTATATTATTCCATTTATCCTGTATAAAATCTGCAAAGCCCTCATGGTTCCACCAGCAATCAAGGCATCAGAATGGTTTAGGACCCCAATCCACGGAGATATCTTTTAGCAAAATTGGGCAGTGATCTGAGATATCCCTCCTCAGACCTCTCAATGTAATATCAGGAAAGCATAGCAAAAATTCATTTGACAGTAAGAATCTATCTAACTTACTCATTGCAGATCCGTCGAGTTTGTACCAAGTGAATTTCCTGCCTAAAAGTGATATCTCCGTTAGCCCTGCCTCCAAAATGAAGTTGTTAAATTCGCTCATTTCACCTGGGTCATACCATTTGCCCTTTCTTTCTTCATTACACCTTATTGCATTGAAGTCACCGCTAAGCACTAGTTTCCTCCCCCTGAATCCTTGATTACTCCTTGTAACTCTGTCCACATCTGCCTTTTCTCTTGTTTGTTTGTTTGTTGCATGAAGAGGAAATGTTTATGAAGAAACAAGGGATCCGATCACCACCCCAAAGTCCAACCATACCACAAAAACTCGACCCATCCAACTTCTTATTCATTGTGAAAATTTTTGGATTCCAAATGCAAAGTAAACCTCTTGCACTACCTGAGCCGGTTTCATTACCCATTCACAAATTGTCGATCCCCATATAGAGTGTATCAATCTATCATTCATTTGCTTAAGTTTTGTTTCTTGGATGAAAATCATGTCCACCTGCTCTTTTTTTATCAGCTCCTTCACATCCCTTCTTTTATTGCTCTTCCCCAATCCCCTTACATTGTAAGATAAGATCTTCATGGGTTGACCGGTTGTACTCCTTTTTTCTCTGCATTTGCCAATCTTTGCTTTGCTAGTGTAGTTTTGTCCTGCTTCTCCATCTCACTTAGCTTTTTGATTATTTCTGCAGAATTGTTTTTCTCCACTAGACCAAGCTGCTTTCCTATATTCCAAAGCTCTTCTGCCTCATCCTTCAAGTTGAGATCTGCTCCAGTATTGGCTCTGTTCGCACCCCCCCTCGATCGAGACTCTACTTCTATTGTGAATTTTTGAGGCTCTACTTCTGATGTGCATTTTTTGTTTCTTCCTTTCAGATCTGACTTTTGCTTCAGCTGTATCTTCCTCCTTGTTGTTACCTTCCTTAGCTTTAATTTTTTCTTCTCCATCTTTCTTTGTTTGGCTAATCTCTCAACCTTTGATTGCAGGATTTCATTGTCACTTGCCAAGCCTTCCCAAAAGGGCTGGGTTCTTCTTTCTTTTTCAATCGAGTCGTCATCGTTACTCTCCGCCTTTCCTGTTGATGCTGGTTTTGCGCTACAAGTGGAGTCTTTGTTCCCTTTGTCAGAAGCTCCTTTTTGGGTACTTTTTCCATTTGGAACCTTCTCTTCTCCTTTGTCAACTTCTTGGTTTTGGGCCATTGCTTTTTGTTGTTCCACCAAATGGCTGCACTCTGTCCAGTCCGTTGGCCCAAGGTTTGTAATAAAGCCCAATTCCCTCCATTTTGGACCAAAACCCGGAGGGTATGTGTCTTCATTAGATATCTTTCCTTCATCCTCTCCATCTGTTTGTTGTTTTAGACTCCTGTTACCTCTTGGCTCAACTCCCCATTGCTCTATCATGATATTTTCCTCGAGACCTTCACCCCTCTGTTGATTTGAAAGAAGCCGCCCAGCATTAATTGTGTTTTTAGTTGAATCTAACGTCTCTAGAACATTTTCAAACTCCTCTCCGGTGATGAATATTCCGGAGCCCTAGTTGATTCCAGATTGTTTTCAAATTCTTCCTCCGGCGGTGAAGATTCCAACACCCAAGCTGAAACTAGATTGTTTTCTTTCTCCACTTTGTCCTCTTCTTTGGCAACTTCCCATTGGTCCCAACTTTCTTCTTCATCAATCATACCCCAGTTGGATCCTTCAAACCAACTTTCTGTACTGGAATCATCATTTCTACATAAAGAGAAATCTGAACAGAGTGAAAATATGTTGTCCACTCCAACTTCTTCACTGATCCTGATATGGAAAAGCTTGTTCTTCACTTTGATCTTCAAGACCTTCTTAATGTTCTCTTGCAGTGGGGTCAGAATCAAGATCCGAACATGCATGCCACTATTTCAAAGAAATTACTCTTCCATATGTGCAGTGGCACTCCTTGACATCTAAGCCACGTAAATCTCTCAGTTGCCATTTCCTCTGGAGTCCATGGTCTTACATTTGTAAACCATTGTGCAGGCCATTCACGTCCTTCATCCACAAGGTGTTTAAGCTCCTCTTCGTCCCCACTTGATAGTAACACTAAGTTGACTCCCATTGGAGTAACCTGAGCTGAGAAATATCCTTCCATTGCAAATTTATCTTGAAGGGTGCTGATGATTTCAGGGCATTTTGCTCATCCAACATAGCAATTCTCTAGCCTCCTTATGTCTTCTTCGTCTGCTTGAACTTCCATTCCATTCCAGTCTTCCTTTTCTTCTTTTCCCTCTCCACCTTGTTTCTTCATCTTCCCTTCCTAGTGTGGCTTTGTCTTGTTATCTATTCTTCCTAAATTGGATCTCACGACATCGGCATACGATCAGTGTCCTCCTATTTGTGGCCCCGTTGCCCCCAAAGCTCCAGCATACGGTTTATCCTTGGCTTTGATTGCTTTGATTTCTTCCCTCTTCTTTTGTGCCTCATGCATGGAGAATCTTGCAAGGTTTGCTTGCAGAGTTTGATGACCAATTTTGATTTGGTTTAGTTGATATTCCACACTCCTAATGTCTTTAACTTCCAAGAATCTAACGAAACCAAACCTCCTGCCTTTTTGGTCTCATTTTTTTGCTATGAACACTTGAATCACTTTCCCTATTTTGATGAACACCCTCCACATCTCTCCCATTTCCCAATCTTCTGGAAAGTTGGTGAAGAGGAATGGGATAGCTTTTTCTAGGACTCCCTTGCCATAACCGTAAGATGGATGCCGCTGTCTTCTTGACCATTGCTCTCGATTTGCCTTTTCAGGTCCCTGCGCCTTACTTCTCTGTGGGTTGTGGTGGAGTTGGGTTTCACGGGTTGGTCTCTCCCTCACCGAATGACGCTCTGGTTGGATTTGGTCCCTTCCATATGGCCTTTTGCCAGCACGAAAAGGGATGAGGTTGAAGTTTGGGTTTCTTTCTAGTTTTCTCTCTCTATAGCTCATTCTCTCTTCAATTATACCAATCTGATTTGGTGCTTAGTTATAACCTCCCTAAACTGTGATGCATGCTCAAAATTCATCACTACCTCAAACCACATATCAATCCATGAAGGCTAAACCATACATCAACACTTCTTATAATTCTTACACCTATATAAACAGTATATTCATCTTCCTCTTGATCATATTTATCCTCCTCATCATTATATTCACATAAATCATCACTACAAATCTCAAATTCTTCACTGTTTTCATATGTAGGATCAAAACTATCCTCTCCATCACTATCATTTTCATTAGGAACCCTTTCATTCTCTTCATTATCTCTATTTTGAGAATTATGGAATGTGTTGCTTGGCCCAATACCATTATTATCTGCATTGTTTATTATACTGACTCTACTTTTCTTTTGATTCCTACAAGCTCCCTCACTTTTCTAATAGCTTCACCACCTCTTCATCATTCGCATCACTATGTAAAGCATTAAGAAATTCATCATCCTTATAATCAGTGTCCTCTAGAACTTGTTTTTTAGCTGCATCACATCTATGGTTAGCATCTATTTCATAAGCTACATTATTACACTTTGGAGCTGGTTTTGAATTTTGGGTCACAAAGCCATCCCCAATGTCCCCATCTAGATCAATCTCATTGCCTTCCTATCGACCTTAACCCTTACACCTTCAAAAAAATGGAATTATAGTTTCATTTACTATTTCCTCATTTACAACACTTGGTCCCATATCATTAGTTGCATTAACTACATTATATAAAATGTTTGGTTCATCAAACACATGCCTAACATACACATCTATAAGTGACATTTCATTTAAGAGTTAACACATGACTAAGCTCCTAGTTGCCAGCTATTACTTTTATTGCTACACCAAACTTTACAACATCATGATCTTTATAATATAGATATTTAAAATGCATATATCCAATGCTTTTTACCCTCTATTCTAAATACAACAAAGTTACTCGATGATATTTAATATCCTCATCATATACTTCACCTCCAATATACCTAAGATTCTCATTAATACTCATGCAAAAATTGCCACCATAGTGAATTCTCAATGTCCCCATTACTGTTATAAGGAAAAGTAGACTATAAATTAATACATATGTAAGTGTTAAATCTATCAATTAAGTTATTAATTATAGATTTATAGGTTTAGAAATAATTATTTCATATTAATTGCACACACCCTAATCTTGAAAACTCTAACTGTAATTGCACAGTTATGGATGAAATTGGATTCAAAACTAACATGAAAAGCAAAATTGGAAAGGAAATTTATAGCTCTTTGTTTGATTATTTAGTAAATCACTGAAATCCTAAAACATCTTTTACTTAGAAAACCACAATTATAGACAATGCTTAACAATATTTAAATTATTTTAATCATAATTAAGCCCTAAATCTTAATTAAGTAGTTAATCCAACTCAAATCTATCATGAATAACAATACCACCTAAAAAGTAAACAAGAATGTCTCACAATAAAGAAAAATACCTAACAATCGAACCAAGCACATTGTCAGAATCGTTCGTGTGTTTTGGTCATGTCCGTTTCAATAGAATGTTGTACCACTTCAATCCAGATTGTTTGGTTGGTGTGGGGAGTAAAATTCTTTTCTTTGGTGGGGTTCTTCAAGAAGATCTTCTTTCTCGATCAAAATGATCTGAGTCGAACTTGTTTGTTTCATTCATCTTATTGCCTTTCTTTTTACAACTTATAAGTCAAAGAGTAGGGCCTACAATTAAATTGTTTGGTGATATAGTTTTTGCTAATGAGCAATCCAAACTAGACTACCAACATATAAAGAAAAGGTTCACGTGTCACTGACATGTACATGTATGATGAAGACTAACAGTACATGTGCTGCACATAACCCTTCAACGTTAAATGTTGCCTCATTATCATAAACTCGAAAACCAGGAGAGTCAAAAATCATAAATTGTAAGATGAAGGGTAAAATGCCTCATGCTCCAAAAGTTGAAGGGCAAACTGTGGGTTTTTGCCCCTAATTCATCATGGATCCAACTCCTACTTCAACTAAAACTCAAGAAAGACTCACCACACAAAACGCTTGTAAATAGCCTAATCTCTCTCCACTCCACCATAGTATTCACAATCAGTAGTCCCTTTTCCTCTTCTAGAAGCTACACAACACAATGTCTTCAACTACCAAGATCAAACCCCACACCAAAACCATTCCTCTGAAGACTGCTGATGGGAACTCTTCACCTTAGTCGAGCTTGTCGCCATGGAATTCAAAATCATCAAATCCTTCTTCGACGACAACCTAGACATATCTTTCGATGCTGTTGTCCCCCTCACCAATGCCAACTTGAAGGAACCCACAAAGGTCAGCAGCGACTATAAGGCCCAATTGGATTTCCAAAGCTGCAATAAGTCCACCAAGAATGACTCCAAAGCATAGTAGAAGAACTTCTTGAAGGAGCAAACAAACGAGGAATTGAAATCCTTGATCTTGGCCGCCAATTATCTAGACATCGCAAATTTGCTGGATGTGGTGAACTAGGAAGCAACCGACAAGATCAAAAAAGAAAAGCATGGAGTACGTAAGGAGGTTTTTCGATATTGAGAATGACTACACCCCCGAGGAGGAGGCAAGAGTTAGGGCCAAGAATGCCTGGGCCTTCGAGGGTGTCGACCCTGACAATGATGTTATGGATTCAGACGTGGTTATGGATTCCACCCAAATATCAATACAGTGATAGACTTTGGTAAATGGATTGGGCTAGATTCAGGGTTTCACTATTGCCTACTATTGACTCTATCGTGTATATGGTGCTTTAAAGTGTTTTTTTTTTTTTAATAAATTGTTATAATAATTAGGTTTTTTTTCAAATATTAGCAATTCATGAGTGAAAGAAATGAGTGTTTCTTTCTTACTACCTTACTCCATTTTTTCATTTTTAATGAAATGAATACTTACTAATCTTTCCTTTCTTTTTTTTTTTTTAGGATTTTGATTTGAATCAATTGCAGACTAAGCTCGCTTGGTTTGGTGGTACTGTACAATAGTAATAAGTTGCTTTTTATAAATCTTTTAACTATTCAAAATATATAAAAAAAATTAATTAAAATTAATAAAAAAATATATTTAAAAAAATTAAAAACTAAAAATTTACATTTTTAAATAAAGTACTTTGTGAAAAAGTTTCTCCAAAGTTTCGACAATTATGCCTAAAAGTTGATTTGAAGCTATTTTAAAGGATTTTGACTCAAATTACATTTATTCGGTTCAAATCATTTGCGATAAATTAAGAACTAAGACATAAAATCTTGATATGTCTCTCATAAAAAAATATTGATATTATAAAATTGATAAAGAGATATTTAAAATAATAAAAACAATCTCAAGAGTGAGAGGAATAAGGATCAAAGTCCTTGACACATGAAAAGTAAACAAAAAGTTAAATTTGGAAGTGGAGGAAGCAATAATTCCACTTGTTCATGATGTTACAAAGTCATATGATGCTATTTAAAAGTGATAGCACTTGTTCTTGGGGATGTCTACCTTTCAAGAATTCATAGTAATTTAAAACATTCTTATATGACTGTGTATGATAACTAGAAATAATATAATGCCATAAAGTGCTAATAGACAATGTAGACATGTCATAAAATGTATACATATCTTCTCAAGTTCTTGTGAGAATTAATTTGGTGAACCTTTGATTAAAGGATTACCAAAGGAAAATTTACAAGACAAGGAAAGGATGGGTATCAAGTCCATTAATAAAAGTCACACATGATGGAACCTTGATTTAATGCTTGTAAAATATCAAGTGTTAAGTTTAATGAGTAAAGTACATTATATGAATGTGATTACAATACTGAAATTTATAAATAATACAATCTCAGGTGAGACAGTACTTGGTACCTATATGAAGCAAGGTGTTGGTTAAGCTGATTGCTCTTAATAGATCTTATATAGTTATGTTTAAAGTGTTTAATGCAAAGCACTTTTCATGGGATCTAGCAATATGAGTGCAAGTGGTGCCACCTCTAGGAGTTGGGGACTTCACTCTAGCAACACTCATGAAAAGAATATAGGATATATGGTCAATTTTTGTGTGATGATGCTAAATTCTTTGGAAAGCATGAAGCCTTGTGTATGACATGTGCTCAATTAGTCACTTCAAATCATTGATTCAAAGCATTAGTCTACCCTACAATTCTAACTAGTTAACACCTACTCATTAAGTTAGGTTCAAAATCGCAAGATACCTTCATGGTATGCATAAGATTTCCAAAACTATTAATAGGGTTATCTTTTTCGAAAATGGTGAGGGAATGTTAGGGGAATTTTTAAAATAGAGGAAAGAAGACAATGGTTGAGAAAGGTTGTGAATGAAAAGGTACCTCTCCATAATAAAACTCTTTCATTTAAATTGGAAGAGATATATTCTTTAGAAAGTCTCTATTCCCAAAATGCACCTATAACCTATAAAAGGCTTGTTTTCATCTTCTTCTATAACAGATTCCAATAAAGAAAATATGTACATTTTATTATTATCAAAATTAAATGGTCATTTTTTGTGCAATGGTTGCTACAAAATCTTTATACAAAAGTAATAGTTTTGCTACTTGAAGAACTAAGATTCAATGGTTGGTTTTCGTAAGTGAAAGTTGAAATCAACAAGATTTCATTATACCTTGTAGGCATTTTCATCCAACCCTTTTGCATACCAAAATGGAGGCAAAAATAATCAAAATGAAAGCAGCATTTGCAACACACCTTGAAACTAATCATCTGTTTCAACTTTCAACCCCCAAGTTGCTCTTAGCAGGAACAGACCTACATATTGGAGTGGGCTCTACCCCTCTTCCAAAAAAGTTTCAAATTCTAAAGCCTTACTGTTGTAGGCCCTACCAATTAAAAGAAAAACAATATACAAAGCCTTGTAATTTTAAGTCTTATTGATAGAAGCCAACAAACAATGTAAAGTAGGCTCAAAGAAACAAGAAGAGAATTGCGTTGTAGTGGGAGAAGAATTTTTTTAATTTTTTATATCAGAAAGGATTAAAAAATAATTAAAAAAAAAAAAAGAAACGTTAATGTTGTTTTATTCAATTGAACCAAAGAAAAAGGGGCTGATCCAAAAAAAGAAAAAAATGAAGGGGGTTATCTTCTTCGTTAGCCCTAACCAAAATGACAGACAAAATAAAAAATCTTAATGGCTATTGCTGCGTGGCTTTTTGTTAATGTTATAGAAAATATTGTCTGATTTTTAAAATAATTAATAATTGTAATTTTTAGTTAATAAAATAATTAATATTTATTACTTAATATATTAAAATTTAGGACAATTATACGTACACCCAAAAAATCAATACCCAAGATTTATGAACAGTAAAATTACAAATTTGCCCCTCCTCATTTTAGTGTTGGGTGTTGAGATGGGTATTGATTTTTTGGATGTATGTATAATTGTCCTAAAATTTATTTGTAAATTAATATTTTTAAATACAACTAATTGTAATAAAATTATAAACTAATAAAATTAATTTTAAAAATACAATTACTATCGTATTTGCCTGTCTTTAAGGCCATGTCGTTATGGCCATGTCTATAGTCCTACTTTTCTCCTCAGTATTCTGCATATAAGTGCACGAGCTTTGTACTTTGACAGTTTAATGTGGTTAGTCTCAGTCCTTTTAACTATATTCTTTTGGCTCTTTCTAATTTTGTAGATAATTTGCATATTCATGTTCTTAATAGAGTATAAAATTGTTGGCTTTTGGGCAAATGCCTGACGAGATTTCGTACAAATTAATACATAAATTTTTAAAATTTTGTAATTAAAGATACAGACATCTCTTCTTTACTCATCAAGGCTAGGTTGAGTTATGGCTAGACAAAAATTTTATTATTTAGTTTAATTGTTATAAGCAATTGATAGAAATAACAGAGATAAAATAACTTATATTTTATTTAACAGTTTGAAATTAGTTTATAAATTACTATTTTTAAGTACATTAATAGTTATGAACAAATAAACTAAACATATTTTTAATATTTTATATGGCTATACTAATTATTTGTGTGGTCCATAAGCTACCATCTTCCAAAAATTTCTAACCAATTATATAATCTTTCGAATAATTATCTGTGTAGTCATAAATGTCTAATTTGTATCCTTCATGTTGTGCAAGATCATACAACAGTATGTTGAAAATATAAATAGAAAAAAAATATATATGTTTTTCAATCCAACATTCTGAAAAAATACAATTTAAGCTGTAAACAATAAGCATATTCACGTATCTTTAATAAACCTTCTTCGTCTCTTATTTCATTAGAAATATCCTAGTATTTTTAAAATTCAAGGAACACAAAATGTGACTGAAAATAGGAAAAAGGAAAAACAATAGGAATACCTTTTTGTGAATTCAATAAGCAGCCGAAGTTAACCAGGCAGATTATTGGTATTCCTAATTCACTACGGATCCGACTCCTACTTCAACTAAAACTCAGAGACCCACCACACAGAACGCTTATAAATACCCTAATCCCTCTCCATTCCACCACATTATTCACAATCAATAGCCCCTTTTCCTCTTCCAGAAGCTACGCATCACAATGTCTTCAACCACCGAGATCGAAACCCACACCAAAACCATTACTCTGAAGACTGCCGATGGGAAACTCTTCACCTTGGCTGAGTCCGTCGCCATGGAATTCAAAATCGTCAAATCCTTCTTCGACGACAACCCGGACGCCTTGTCGGATGCCGTTGTCCCCCTTCCCAACGTCAACTTGGGGGAACTCGCAAAGATCAGCTTCTGCTGCGAGGCCCAACTGAATTTCCGAAGCTGCGGTGAGTCCGCCAACGATGAGTCCAAAGCACAGCAGAGAAAGTTCTTGAAGCAGCAGACAAACGAGGAATTGAAATCCTTGATCTTGGCCGCCAATTTCCTGGAAATCGAGGATTTTCTGGACGTGGTGAACCAGGAAGCAGCCGATCGGATCAAAAATAAGAGCGTGGAGTACGTGAGGAGGTTCTTCGGGATCGAGAACGACTACACGCCCGACGAGGAGGCAAAAGTTAGGGCCGAGAATGCCTGGGCCTTCGAGGGAGTCGACCCTGATTCGGACGTGGAACCTGATGAAGATGTTATGATGAATTAGGACGCGGTTATGGATTCAACCTAAAAAGTTATAATTGCCCGTTATTGACTCTATGTCTAGCTATATATATATATATAAATGGTGTTTTAAAGTTCATTTTTTTAAAATTTTCTAAT